CCTATTAACTTTCCACGAATTAATTTTACTAAATTTTCCTCCACTTGGGGTGAATCTGGCAACATTAATTTTGCTTCATGGCAACCTTCTATAAATGAAACTACTGGAATATTTTTTCCATCGAACACAGGCACTAATTCTAACGCGTCGCGAAGAGATACTTGTTGATTATTAGGTAACGACATAACTAAGCTTTTTATTTCACTTTTGTATCACTTTCACTTAGAATTTTGATTTGTGTTTATGAGTGTAAATAAAAAAAATTAATAAAGGAATTTCTAGATTTGTTGGTTCAAGGATATTTTTCTCTCTCATTTATATATTTGAAATTATTTAAGGAAAAATGATTTTTTTTTTTAATTTCTCTTTTCTTTTTATCACAACAAATGATGCACCAAAAATTATACTGTTAATGCATCGATTTTTATATTATTAGTTTAAATTCTCTTTTTTGTTCACAACGGACAAAACACCAAAAATTATATTTTTAGTGCATAGTTTTTAAATTTATATTCTCTTTCTTGTTCACAAAGGACGATACACCAAAAATTATATTTTTAGTGCATAGATTTCAAATTTATATTCTCTTTCCTGTTCACAACGGCCGATGCACCAAAAATTATACTTCCTCTGTTACGTCTCAAATAGAGAAATAACTAAAGAAATAATATTTTATTTTATTTGTGGCCGCTCGGTGATTCAGTGAATTCCTGTTTCATTTACAGAGCAGAAGGCTCTGAGCTAAGGGTACAGGAAAGAAAGAGAATAGTGATTTTTAATGACAAGATTACAAATTTATTTAGACAAACATTTAGAGTTATAAAATTGATCTTTGAGAGAGAGTATCCTGAAGCAACCATTCTTGAAATAAGGGGAATTCAGCATTCCACTGCAACAAGGAATGTAAAGGTTACTACAAATTTTTATAAGGAATTAGGAAGGATTTTGATAAAAAGTATTACAACTTACCTTGAAAATTTAGATGTAAGATGTATGAAAGAGGACCACTGTGGTGTCTTCTGATTTGGCAGGTAAAAGGGCTGGTACCAGTATAGTTTAAGAGCTCACAGGAAGGTTGACGGGCCTTGGTGATGACCACAGGTCCGGAGTTCAGTTGATTGAATCAGCTCTTCTTGACGTAGAAATTTTTAACACTTGACACAGAGATTCTTCTAAGTCGAACTTGTGTATGAAATCGAGCAGAGTAACAACGCTTGTACTAGATTTCGTATGTGAACTGGTACCGTGTATGATGAAAAGTTCTGAACTGGTAGATGTTACACGTATGAAGATGATTTGAGAACTGGCGGTATCGGTGGTAATTTCTGAACTGGAAGACGTCGACTGGTACCAAGAATGAAGTTGATGTTAAACGTATGAAGATAATTTGAAGGGTAGAATGACAAAAGGGGTCAAGCGCCAATTCACTGTTTTTACAGGAAGTAAAAAAAACATTTTTAAAAATTTTGCAGGTCATTTAAAAAAAAACTGAGAAAACCGTTTCGATATATTAGTATGTTTTAATAAATAAACAACAATTTGTTGAAATAAACCTACATATTAACGATAAAATTAAAAAAAACTGTGGTTCCTTGAGGTTATATCAACTGCGCACATTTTCTTTAAGCATTAATTATAAAAAAAATATACAGTTTAAAGAAAAACTGGAAAATTAGTTTCTTTCTATGGAATCGACGAAATGAATAGAAAAAAAAATTCCTTTAAAAAATTGTTTGTTTTCAAGAAAATTACGAATTAATTGCTTGCTTTGGAATTGAGCAATACTTTCATCTTTAAATTCAATTGTTCGCTTAGTATAACCATAAAAATATTTTAAAATTAATAACAAAATGATTTTAAAATCGTTTAAAATTGAAAATGCATTATTATTATTATTAATTTTATTAATTAAAATATTATTGAAATAAAATTAAAATAAAATATTAAAATAAAACCTAAAAAAATAATATTTTTTTTATTTTGATAATATTATTGACTCACCACTTTCTTTTGTTTTTCAATCAGGTTGCAATAAAGTAAATTTGAGGCTATTTTATTAATTTAATTTTTATTAAAAACTGATTTAAATACGCAATAAAAAAGGAAATCCTTCTACAGAAATGTGTAAATGAATTTTCTTGATTTTTTTATGCAAAAACCTCATTTTCGATAAATTGGCGCTTGACCCCTTTTGTCATTCTACCCTTCATTTAAGAACTGATTTCTCCATAAAAATGTAGTCCTTTTATATTGAATATTCATAAGAGAATATATCTATATATTTTTCACCCTAATTTTTCATAAGAGAATATATCTATATATTTTTACCCTTTTTTTAGAAGCCGATGTCGAATCCTTCTATATAAGAGAATAGTGCTATATATTTTTCACCCCTTTTTTTAGAAGCCGATGTCGAATCCTTCGATATAAGAGAATAGTGCTATATATTTTCACCCTAATTTGGAAGTCGATGTTGAGTCCTTCTCTCTCAGTTAAACGTTAAAGAAGAGGGTTCTTCTAATGTGATGATACCACAGGTGTTCGTTACATGGGGGGAATTAAAAGATTTCTCGCTTTTATTTCTATGTTTTAGAAATACAGTATATAGACATAGGAAGATACAAAACGCAAGGGTCATTTATACATTAAGTCGCGCGATAATGGGGCGGGAGTTTACATAAGAGAAAGGCATTTAAATGCGTAACAAAGGCACGGGTGTTTGTCGCAGAGACATACAATTCGGTATTGATTAAAAGAATTCTTATAATTATGAATGTAAAAGTTACGGTGACGTGACAGTACCAACAAAACATTTGTTATTCCGTGAAACCGTACCAAAATTAAAGAAAAATATTAAAAAAATATACCCGATCTAGACTTATTTTTTAATTCTATCGGCCAATTTACCAAATCGCTTCATTCTTATATTGATTCGTTAGAATAGTAAAAAATTTTATATTATTTTGTAAGCTTATGTAGTTGCCCATTTATGGTCAAATAATGACTGCGGGCTTTTGTGATCAATAAATCAATAAATAAATACAGAAATTTTGCTTTATGTTTAAAATAATAATTATAAATTTCTAATAACTAATACTAACCATACAGTATAATAATTGTAATGAAACTGAAGTTTCAAGACTCAATTAAGGATTTCAATTCTCATCAATGAAATTTGATTATTTTCAACCCTGCAAAACCTGAAATAAAAAAAAAACAGTATTTATCATTGTTTTGTCACGGATTTTACGAAAATCTCGGAATTTCAAGTAAATTGTTATTTCCTCGCTTTGAAAGTAATTTTTTTTTAATTATTTATTTTTCAATGCTATAGAACCCTTTTAAAACAAATTGCAAAAGGTTCCAAGTCGAGGAAAGCAGTGATTTTGATTTTTTTGTCACGGATTTTTTTCGAAAATCCTAAAATTTTAAGTAATATGCTATTTCCTCGCTTTGGAAGTAATTTTTTTTTGATAATTATTTATTTCAATGCTAGAAGCCTTTTAAAAACAGAAAAATTGCTTCCAAGTCGCCACACGAAAAAAAAGTAGAATTTTTACCCCAAAATCGGTATAAAAATTACCTGCAACAAATTTTATCCTAGTTGACGGCGCCACCGTCTATGTGAATTAGCATTGGTTAAAATTACCCGCAACAAAATTTACTCAGCGTTTTTTCCCCGCGGTGAAATAGCAATTTTTTTTTGAAATTTCGGGATTTTCGTAAAATCCGTGACAAAAAATTGAAATCACTGCTTTTCCCGAATTGGAATCAATTTTTCTGTTTTTTAAAAGGCTTCTAGCATTGAAAAAAATAATTATCAAACGCGAAAAATTGCTTCCGAGACGAGGAAATATCAATTTACTTGAAATTTCAAGATTTTCGGAAAATCCGTGACAAAACAATGATACTATTTTTTTTTTATTTCAGGTTTTGGAGGATTGAAAATAATCAAATTTCATTGATGAGAATTAGAATCTTTAATTTTTATTTTTTTCTTTAAATCAACGTTGGTAACTTCTGTTTCATTAATTTATAGTAATTGGTAGTTATATATTGTCTGACCGTAGCGCGTTCATACTACTTAAATTGGAATATTTGATATTTCAGTTAGCTCTAAACTCCGAAAACATATATACAAATGTAATTTTAACTCTTATAACAGACAATTTTTTAATTTCACTTAAAAAGTAATAAATTTTTTTAAAAATAAATGTAAATATAGGTATATACGTATAATGCACTTTTTCATCTAAATCGATTTCTCTTGGCGCTTTTGTTCGCAGTTACTCCTTTGGTGCTTTCTTTCTCTTTGTATGCTCAAGAAATAAAAAAAGGAAGGAGTTGTCTTTAAGTTTGAGTACTTCTTCAACTTTAAAGTGCGTCAAAGATTCTCTGTGACTCTACACTGAAAAAATCTTGGGTGCATTTTTTCAGAAGAAATTTTGAATTAATTACACAGAAAATTAAAAGGCATTAAAATAAGCTGCTTATTTTTATCCATTTTGGTATTAAAATAAGCAAAATTGGATTAAAATAATAAGCGTTGCAGCTTATTTTAATACCTTATAATTTTCTGTGTATATGTTAATAATAACGTTACTTTTTGGGTTATTATTTTAAATTCGCGAGTCTATAAAAAATTTTAATTATAAAAGTATTTTTAAATGTAGGCAAGTAAATTTAAGAACCCTTTGATAAAAGTTCAAATGGAAATTAGTGATAATAGATTCGACTCTAATTTTTCCACTATAACAAAAGAGTGTTTAAATTACTTTAAAGTTACACTTTTTTTTTTACTTTGTAGAGGCGTGTTGCAACAATTAAAATGTTAACTAATGAGTTCAAAAAGGCTTTGTAAAGAAGCAATTTTACATTTCTTTTAATTCCACTCTTTCTACCTTCATTTAAATTTATAGTTTAAACTATTATTTAGTAGTTTAAATAAATCACTAATTTTTTTTTTTTGACAGACCATTAATTAAATTTTTTTATTGCAGGCTGGACAATGAAAAATTTGAGCTCATTAATGTAAGTAATGCAATTTTTTATTATATAAAGTTGTAATGTTTATTACATTTTTATTAAAGTTTTGAAATTTTATTTGAAATTTTCTGTTTTTTATAATAAATTCGATTCAAGTACTTATTACTTCGTGGTACAAAATTGTATTAAATTCCATGTAGTTTATGAAATACTTGTTTTCTTTGCATATAAAGTTTTGTAATATAAATAACTCTTATTCTTTTGTATAATCATTCTTTTATATATAGAAAATTCAAAAGACTTTACAAGAAATAAACTTTTTCTGAGTTTGTATTGTTCCAAAAATTAATTTAATTAGTTTTATTTTTTTGCGAATAAACAAATTCTAAAGGAAAAAATATTTTGAGGCACTTAAAAACTAAAATATATTAATCACGTGGCATAATAAATTTATTTCATTAATAAGATGTGCGCAAGTCATTATAGATTCATTTACTTAGCGCAGAGCGATAATTATTCGGAGAATAATATATAAAATGAAAATCGCATGGCGGTGAAAATTTCTGTTGTGAATAAATCAAGAGCCACAGCTGAACTTGAATAAACGAATAGTCGGTCTACTTTGGACAAGTTAACTTGCGCTCCGCTTGCTCTTTCGAATTTACGATCTCGATAAGTAGCATTTTATTCATAGCACATGCTTTGCTCTTTAGCTAAAGTAAAAAGAGGATAATATCATGAAGCTTCTTCCTGTAGTTTAAATATTTACAAGTATAGTATTTCATATTTAACAGCAGTTTTTAGTAATTGCTTTTTTCTTCATTGGAAAAGTGAATATGTTTTCAATGGTGTTTATTCTTAATGAAAAAAAAATGAAAAATAAATAAATTTCTCTTTTACTCTAATAACAATAAATGACGTTAATTAATAAAATCTCTATAAAAGTTTTGATTATAACAATTTTTATAGAATTTTTTTTAAATAATTATAATTTTTACTGCATAAAAATATTTTATTATTCTACATGAAGAAAAGCTGCTTTAATAAAAATGGAAAAAAGAGAAAAAGGATAAGAAAAGAAAAGTGTTGGTGTTAAACACCGACAATGTTATTTTTTATGATTTTTTCAATAAAAAGGCTTTTATTGATGTACATTGTTTTCCGGCTATGTAGCTTTATGACATTGATATGACTATACTATCAATAAAATTATTTTTTTTTATTGCAATATCTTATTGCGATAAATGTTCTTGTACATCTCTTATTTAATTGCAGAAATCTTAATAAAAGTTTTATCGGTATTATTGTTTCATTGGGACCTATGTATTTTATAGTCTTAATAAATAAGGGGATCTCATTAATTTGAGATTTTAATGGATCGTCTGTCAAGTTCAATGTTTCATAACGATCATTTATTTTCACAGCAGCTGTAAGTAATTTGGCTGCGCCTTATTTCTCTAATTTCCTCTCTTCTGCAATTGGGATTTTCGTGAGAAGTAATGAAGACAAAAAAAGTTATAAACTTTCCTCACTTATATAGTGATTCCGGCATTTATTATTTCAATTAAAAAGTTTACACGTTTCTATTTGCGGAAAAGAAGAACCAATTATGTAAATGAAACTGAAGTTACCAACGTTGATTCAACGAAAAAAATTGAAGTTAAGGATTTTAATTCTCATCAATGAAATTTGTTTATTTTCAACCCTCCAAAACCTGAAATAAAAAAAAGGTAAGAAAACAGTACTGCCGTACGAAATAAAAACTTACTTAACTCATATTTTCGTGAAACCGAGAAAATGACGAAAGACTGTTTGTCTTAAAAAACCTAATGTAATATTGTTAAAAAACAGATAATTTCTCGTTCTAAGTTCCATTAGGTTAGTTTTCAGTTTTCACTGCGCATCCCAGTCGAAAATCGTAAGTTTCCCTGAAGGGTTCACATGGCCTTCAGGTAACTGTTATGAAGGTTTCAAAAGCTTCATGGCAACTATTTATACATTAGACCTAAAATTCTGTGATATTTGCTTTCTAACTTCTGAACGGGAAGCTTTTTCTACAGCTTGTTGAATATCTGTGGACAGCTTCTAGCAAAAGGTCTACCAGTTTGCTTGGTGAATGCTTTCCTAATGCTTGGTTTAATGTGTAAGAAAGCAATTCTATTTGCTTTTCACAAGTTGCAAATTAATATGTAATTTAATTACCTTTTTTACACTTCCTGAAAACTAGAATAATTTCATTAAATTAAACTAAATCGAAAAATCATAAAAATTCTATAGTAATTTGTAAATCCGTTTTATACAATTAATAATTATTCTTTATATATTATATAAAAATTATTTTTCAAAGAAAACGTTTATTTTTAAACACTTAAATTATATACGAAAAAAATTATATATAACTTGAGCAAAATTTGGGGTTAGGAATACGAACTCGGTGAAAACCTTTTATATTGAATAATGAATACAATTTCTTAAAAAAAAGACAAAATATTTAATATTTAAAAAAAAAGATTATTATTTTTATACTTGATATTTATGAATATTTTTTATAAATAATATATTCTTTATTCTTTTAGAATTTCATAATTTATGAAAATGAATTTAACGGCGTATTTTTATTTACAAATTTTTAAAAGTATTCTACATGAAACATTAAATTATTAATCAATATTAATTGTGTAATTTCACTATAGAAAATTAATTCACAACTAACTTTTAATTGAAAGAAGATAATAATTAGTTTAAAAAAAAGTATTTAATATCACTAATAGATATTTTATAAAACAATTGTACCCTTTTAAAAAGACTGTGGAAATACCGAGTCTGACGTAAATAATTTTTCTTTAATTCTTCAATATTTAAATATAATAATCTAATACATAATATTTTTACGAGATAAATAAAGATGGAAAGAAAGGTTAAATTTAATTTTTGATCATTGTCATTTTTCCGCTGTTTCCTGAAACATCCATGACGCTTCATTTAATTTTCGCCACCTGAACGCTTTCTTTTTATATATGCAAAATCCTGCAACTCTTTGATAACTCTCTCAAAGCTACTTGAATGCTTTGGTTAAAACGTACAAAATTTGTTATTTTCAAGCTTTCCGTGGAAGCGAAAAATCGGCCATAACAGGCTTCCTGAAAGTTTTCTATAGCTAGTTATCTACTGTCTCACAATTCTCTAATGGTTATCTCAATACTTCAAAACAACTTTTTGTTCAGCTTAACATAGCGTCGGATTTTCGACTGGGATAGTGTCTACCTGAAAATTTGCACTTAGGTTCATGTTTATTACTCTAAGTGAGACGCCGTTTTCAGGTATGAATCCTCAAGTTAGTCAGGATTGAACCTTCAACAGGAAAACTGCGTTTTCTCGGTTCAATGCTTTAACACAATTTTGTATTCTCTTTATACTTAATAAATTTTATCATTCTTTAATTAAAATGTGTCTTTACTTTTAGTAAAAGCCCAACAAATATAAATAATTCTTTAATCTAACTTCACTTTCTAGCTAAATAAATAGACTTCTTTCTAATTCCCTTGGCAAAAATTGATTATTTAAACAAATTATATTAAATAATTGAGTTAAGTATTTTTTTACACAAGCAAAACTTAGTTAACTCGAGTTAAGGAGTGCTTTTCGAAAAGGTAGGCGAGTTCGAGCCGCCGCTCAGAAGTAAAAACTCACCTAACTCAAGCTGGCACGCGAGGTGGGGGAATAACGTATTATACACATTATAAAAAATTTGGTTCTGAGTTAAATTTTAATCTGATTGTGATTAATAAAGATTATTTTTATTATTATTATTATTAATTTATATATTTATTATTTTATTATTCATTAATATTTTAAAAATTAAATTTAAATCAACATGTTTCAGTATAGAATTTATTACAATTAAAAATGTGTAAAATGATTGCATGAGTAAAAAACGGTGTTATTAGTAGAAAAACATTGATTATACTTGCTTATAATATTCAAATAACTTACAACAGCTGTTTATAATTACTACAACAGTCTTTATGTAATAATCAATTAATTAAACATTTTAAAAGTAGCGAAACTTAAGCGGGCGAGATTCCGAAACAACCCGACGAGAATCCGAAGTTAAACGATGATTGAGTTGAGGAGTTTGCTTTCGAAATACAGGGTCTAGCTCATGCCATTTTTCGAAATAAAAACTCACTTAACTCGAGTTAAGGTTTTCGCTTCAAAACTATGCATGAAATTCGACTACGTTTTTGACAGCAAAAATACTCAACTCGAGTTGACTGAGTTTTTGTTTCTTATATCTCATGCTCGAGCTACGATTTTCGGACTCTTTAACTCGAGTTAGCATAGTATTTCTTCATTTTCTGGGTTTTCGACAATTTTTTATAACTATTTTCTTGCAATAAATAATTAAATAAAAATTTTTTAATAACACCATCAGATGCGTTTTTTACTACGAATCCATTGATACCAAAAACTCATTTTTCGCCAAAATATGAGTTAACCAAGTTTTTACTTCGTACGGCAGAGTACTTATCATTGTTTTGTCACGGATTTTACGAAAATCCCGGAATTTCAAGTAAATTGTTATTTCCTCGCCTCGAAAGCAATTTTTTTCTTTTGATAAGTATTTAAGTTCACTGCTAGAAGCCTTTTAAAAAACAGAAAAATTGCTTCCGAGGTGAGGAAATAGCATTTTTTTTTTGAAATTTCGGGATTTTTGTAAAATCCGTGACAAAAAATTGAAATAACTGCTTTCCCCGTCTTGGAACCTTTTGCAATTTGTTTTAAAAGGCTTATAGTATTGACAGGGTGTCTAACGGTCAGGGAAAGTCAGGGAAATGTCAGGGAATTTCTGAAAATTTCATTTAAGGACGTTCATCCACGGAAGTGCAGACCTCTTGAAAAAAATAATTAATTAACATTTAAATAATTAAAATAATATTATTAATTGTACTTTCTGAAAGATGAGATATTAATTTTCAAGAAAAAAATTTAAAACTTGCAAAATTTATTTATACAATTTGCATAGGATAACATTTTTTTGTTGTATCGCTTCTACAGAATTTTTTAAAAATGATTCGATTTCAATGAAATATGGCTTATTTTCTTCGGAAAATGATTCTCTACAACTTCACCGTGGGATTTTTTAAACAAGCAAGCCGTTTGGAAAATATGGCTATTTGTTTAAAAGAAAAATTTGCATTTTTTAAACAAATAGCCATATTTTCCAAACGGCTTGCTTGTTTAAAAAATCCCACGGTGAAGTTGTAGAGAATCATTTTCCGAAGAAAATAAGCCATATTTCATTGAAATCGAATCATTTTTAAAAAATTCTGTAGAAGCGATACAACAAAAAAATGTTATCCTATGCAAATTGTATAAATAAATAAATTTTTCAGGTTTAAAATTTTTTTTCTTGAAAATTAATATCTCATCTTTCAGAAAGTACAATTAATAATATTATTTTAATTATTGAAATGTTAATTAATTATTTTTTTCTAGAGGTCTACATTTCCGTGGATGAACGTCCTTAAAGTCAGTGAAATTTCAGTAAATTTCTAAAAATATTAAAATTTTTTGTGAATTTAAAAATTTTTTAATCTAAAATAACTTGAATGGTCAAAATAATGACAAATACTGTTTTCTTATCTTTTTTTTATTTCAGGTTTTGAAGGTTTGAAAATAAAAAATTAGAATCCTTAACTTTTATTTCTTTTCGTTGAATCAACGTTGGTATAACTTCAATTTCATTTATGTAACCTATTTTTCTTTTTTTTTTTTTACTATTAATTTATTTAAATTTTACAAAATAATTTATTTAATTTTAGAATACAATCTTGCCTGAAGCTGTACATTTTTGGGAGAGGGCTCTTATGGTGCGAGCGACAAGAAACACCATTCGACTGAATAGGTAACATAATAAATTTTATTTATATTATTAAAAAAAGTGTAGTCATGAAATTTTTCATCTATTTTACATATTTCTATAATAGAAAAAAAAATCTATAGAAATGTAGTTGAAAGCCAAGAGAGCGTTAGATGAATTATTAAAGGGATACCATAGTGCAAATGTTTGTATCAAATTTTTTGCATCTCTACTGATTTCTGTGCTGTATAACTCAAAATAATGTGTGCATCAACTTGTTGTTGAAACACTATAAATTCTCATAAGAAGGTTTATTTTAAGTTTCTATATTATACAATGAAATATGGTACTAAACATATGCAAAGATAAATGCCAAATATTTGTATAAAACATTATTATTTCAACTCTGTAAATACATTTTTCTGGTAATTTTGAGAGTCTGCGGTTTCTGGAATTTAAAATTATTTATGAATATTTTTTATGAGTATTTAAATCGAATTTAAAAACGCTGATTTCGTAGGAAGTAGTATATTAAAGATTATCACGCTTGGAATTTGATTTGATGCTTAATTAACTTTTGAAGTGACGTTACTGGTTGAGATTCGTTTTCTACTTGAATAAGTTTAAATAAGAATTTTATAAACTGAAATGAAGTCGCTCGCAAGAAAATTGTCCCGTGAGGGTTTTACAAGATAATGAATATTTTCGTAGATAGTAATTATTTAGGGTAATCGAGATATTGGAAATTAATTATTGTGACAGTTGATAACGAACTTATAAATATTTTACGTAGTTTAAAATAGTTTCTGTTGAACTTTGCATTTATTTAAGAAATCGAAAAACATTTTATATAATAAATAATTTTGTTTACAATTCTTATGACTTACTTTTCAATATTATCCTTTGTCAAAATGCAGTGACATGTAATTTTCAAATAAAATTAATTTTAAAATTTGTATATTTTTTTTTTGATAGTATCATTATTAGGAAAAATTTGTGAAAGAAAGTTTTTTTTATCATAAAGAACAGAATAGATAAAAGCATATTTTATTACGGAAATAGGAATATGTGGTACATTACACATTTTATAAAAGAAAGGAGATACTCGCACAGTTGAGGCTTTGTGCCAACTTTACAAGTAAAGCAGCACTTCTTTACTAACTGGGGCACGAAATTCGTTTTTGATATTTGTAACGATTGCTTCACTGTGTGAGCATAAAAATTCAAGTTTACTTTTTACCTTTTGACTCGTCTCATACATGTGATTTGAATAGACAATCAGTAAAATATACATACAAAAGAAAAAGTCAAAATAAAAAGTACGTTACTTTTTGGTAGATTTTGATATATTTTTTTCTCAACTATTAAAATGGAGAAAACCTATTATTTACAATTTAAAAAAATTTGATGAAATTTAATTTTTCATAATTTATTGAATATAAAAAAGAAAAATGCGTCGCAAAAAGCAGAAACCTCTGGTGCCAGTAAGTCTGAAAACAGGACATACATTATTCACCAGTTGAATTTCCAATATCGAATACTTAAAGGTGAAATTTTGCTTATTTCAATTTTAATTTTTGTACCTTCTGAGTAATAAAAGTATTGTAAAACGTTTATTTTTAAAAACATTTTTTTTATTCGTATTTCAAACTCTACATTGTTTTAATGAAAAATAAAAAATAATAAAATTAAAAAAGTGAGTAAAAAAATATAGGAACTGAAATAAACTTTGCTTGTGTTCTTTCTCTGTAACAAGATTTTTTACTCGTTTTTTTTTTTTTGTTCATTATAAACTATAGCTATAGATGGTCAGTGCGTATGAAATGTTGTTCTATATGAGAAAAAAAAATATGAAAAATGTCCGTGTTTGGCTATATAAAAAGTTATTTCGCAATAAATTGGATAGAGGAGATAAATATCTGTTTGCACTATTTTCAAAGGACTTTTTACTTGAGAGTAAAAGGATGGAAAAGGGCGGAAGTTCACTTGAAAGAAAGGAGTTGATACTCCTCAGCTAAAGCCCCATGGGGAAATGGTCTCATGTAGGGCTTCTTTTATGTTCTTCTCTTCTTAGAATTTAATAAAGTACTAAGAACAAATTATTGCCGTTGACAAAAATCGTTTCTCTGTAAAAGACTTATATTTAAAACCATAATTTTTCAAAAACTCTCTCGGACAAACTAATTGCCGAGTAGTATGTATATCTCTTAAATTTTAAAAATCAGATTTATTATAGGACCTCATGATTTGAAATTCTCGTTTGAATTAATAAAATATTTTTATAAAATGATAATGTAGGTGGGTGATTCTACAAACGAGGGAATTATAAGCGGTCAAGCTTATTTTGTATATTAATTTTGAAAAAAATAATTTTTTTTTTTATGAAAATTGTAAATCTAAATGGTTTCTATTGTGGCACTAAAAAGCAGCCGATGAAAAAAATATTTCTTGCAAAAAATACACATCAAAGTGCTAAATTCTCATTCGTCTGGCATGTCCCGCAGTGTAATTGACAGTTTATATTGTGAAAAAATATTATTTTTCAAGTGTTTAGCGGAAAATTCATACTGGATTAGTAATTTTGAATAGTTGTAGATTATTAATGTGGAAATAATTATGACATTACTCTATACGTTATTTATAAAATATCTTCTTGAATTTTGTCATCATTCGTCTGACAGTTGAAAACACGTTAAAATTATTAAAAATTAACATTCTGATGAAGTTACAGTTCGTTATTGTTGTTAATTAAACTAAACTAAATGTGATTCCACGTGCGTTTTATTTAATCTGTTATTCTATTAACCAAGATTTCTCAATTTGTGACCAAGATTGCGTTGTGACCAGACAAATTCTCATTCGTTTGGCATCAATTTTTTTGAAAAAAATATTATTTTTAGGTCCTTTTATAGGCTTATGTATTGCAAATTTGAATTCTCTATCGGATAGAATTGCTTATTTTTTTATTTAATGTTGTTTCTACCTTTTTTTTTTTAAAAAAACTGCCAAATTCTCATTCGTCTGGTTCTCATTCGTCTGGCACTTTTGAGACAGGATATACATTAAGCACTAAAAACAGCGTAAAACTAATAATTTTTTTAACAGTTTTCGATTTTCTTGACTTAAAATAATCCTCACTAAATTTTTAAGATATTGCTAAACTCCAATCTTTAATTTTCATTTTGTATATATAATTATATTAATATAAATAAACAAATAAAAAGTACTTTTTTCCTGTGAATCGTATGAATATTACAATAAAATCGAAATATTTTTTATTATTAGACACTTAAAGTACTCCTACAGATTTGCAATTTGTAAAATTATGTTCTAATAGAACACACGTAACTTGTTATAAACAAATTATATAAACAAATTACTAATTAAAGCGATACCTTTTATTGATCCTTGTAAAATTCGTTACTCGGGGGTTTTCGGGGTCGTTGATTACGAATCAGAGGTCAGTTTTTCAAAATTCAAAATGGTGGATACAATATGGCGGACGAGTTTTGAAAAAACTTAATATATTTGTCTGAAAATAATTACTCGGGGGTTTTCAGGGTCGCTGATTACGAATCAGAGGTCAGTTTTTCAAAATTCAAAATGGCGGATCCAATATGGCGGACGACTTTTGAAAAAACTTAATATATTTGTCTGAAAATAATTACTCGGGGGTTTTCAGGGTCGCTGATTACGAATCAGAGGTCAGTTTTTCAAAATTCAAAATGGTGGATACAATATGGCGGACGACTTTTGAAAAACTTAATATATTCGTCTGAAGTAAGTAGTTTCCAGTGATTTTAAATATTTGTCCGCCATGTTGCATCCACCATTTTGAATTTTGAAAAACTGACTCCGGATTCATTTTCAGCGACCCCAAAAACCCCCGAGTAGAGAGTTTCAAGCAAATCCGAACGATTTTTTTAAAAAAATTCCGCCATATTGGATTCGACATTTTGAATTTTGAAAAACTGACCTCGGATTCGTAATCAGCGATCAAGAGAAAACCCGCGAGTAATAAATTTTGTATAAATCCATCCATTATTTTTTGTGTTAATGTGAATTTTCTATACACGATCTTAATTTCCTGGACAAATTGTTTATAAACAACCATAACTTTTGTAATTTTTAATATTTTGTCTGGCCACTTTTAGATATCTTTTTTAGTGTCATTAACTTAAAGTTAAAGTCCTTTTCAGACCTTAAATGAGAAAAAAATGTTGTGTCCATATTTTCTTCATTTTCGTCCTTCGTTTGTAGAATCATCCAAGTAAGCATAAATAGAATACAAAAAGGTGACACATGACAACCACATGTGACTTAAATAAGCTTCAAGCGTTCTTTTAGAAAGTTCCCTTCTGTGAACTTAATTGAATCACGTAATACTGTTAGTGCGGCTTCATACAGTGACACGCTTTTACCATTACTCAGAGCCTTTTGCTTGTCCTGTTTTAGTTCGTCCTGGGAAGCCTGCCACACTGAGTCTTAACTGGCTTTAAAAAATAGTGTACATTTCAAGACATTAATTCGACTGAATTGACCAAAAAAAAGGCATTCCTAAGGTTGAAACCTCCTGCTTTTAGTCATATATACTTTCTAATATTTTATTTATAAATCAGATCTGTCTAAAATTGTCTTATGATGTATCTACCGCAGCTTTTAAGAGATTAAAACACACTAAAATTGAGTTTAAAACTGCACTTTTAAAACACTCTCTTTTAATGTACATTTAAGAGAAAAAGCTGAGTATGAACACTCCTTAAGGAGAGGGATCGGTGAAATTTAATGGGGGTCAATTTTTTTTCTGTCATTATTTTGGATCTAAAATTCTTGTGAATTATCAAAATTAAAAACAAAATTTTTGGGCCAATTTTCAAAATTTTATTTTATGAAAATATTAAAATTTTTAAAAATCTATACGATTGATTGTTCAGAATCATGAAAAAAGCCTACAAAAAAATTACCGATAAAAAATAATAAAAATTGTAGAAGTTGAATTTTTAAGGAATAATTGATCAAATTGAAAATAAACATAATTGGATTAGTTTAGGGGTAAAAATTTTTTTTTACAAATTTTTTTAGAACCTGAAATCATATTTCACTATGAAAAATAAAAAAAAGTTATTTTTAACAAATTTTACATTTGTTTATTATTTTTCAAAAATTTTATTTTTTAAAAAATTGAATTTTTTCAAACTCCATACGATTGATTGCTCAGAATCTTGAAAAGAGTATATAAAAAATCAGCAATGAAAAATAATAAAAATTGTGACAGAAGTTTATACTTTTAGTATTTCGAGATTTATTTTAAAAATTATTAATAAATTGTTTATCAATTTCCCATAGTATATTACAGTTTTAAATACTCAATATTAACTGGGAAAAAAATTGACAACCTGAAACAGCCTCAATTTTAAAAGGTTGAAATTTCAGTTGTCCCTCCCCTTAAAAGCATTGAGAGAAGGTGATAATATTTCTTTGCAAATACCCACGTAATGTGCGTAAAACAATTATTAGTAGACAATGAATTTAAATTTTATTTAGCAACTAAAATTTTCATTTTTTTTTGCAGAAAATGCGAAAGCAGCCAAGTTTTTGTTAAGGATCATCATACACATTGCATAGACACTTGTCGATCTGTAACTATGTGTGGTGAAGTAGTTGTACCTGACGCACATCTTGACGTAAGTTATTGTAAATATTTAATTATAAATTATAATTAAAAATTATAATTAAAAATTATACTTTAAATAGATAATCTTTAATGTAAATCAAATTAAACAGTATCTGGGCAAATCTCCAGAACGTTATAAATATGAAAGTTTTTAAATTACACGCATCCATTTAATTTATACACTGAAAAAAATTTTTATTTGATTCAAATACTCGATTACTTGACTATTATAAAATAAATATTTACTTGAACCAAATAATTTTCATTTGAATTAAAATGAATTTTATTTGAACCAATAATTTCTGTATTTGATTCAAATAATAATTATTTGATATAAATAAATATTTATTTGATAATAGTCAAGTAATCGAGTATTTGAATCAAATAAATTTTTTTTTCCGTGTAGTTATAAATATTGGAAATTTAGAAAAAATAATTTTTTGCGTGATCCATTTTCCTTTAGTGATGAAATAATTATATTTAAAAAACTAAATCTTGGCTAGAATCTATTCTAAAATACAAAAAAAAATGACGACTATTAAATCTTAAGATATGTTCATGTCAATTTTTCTAATGACGAAATTTAAAAAAATAATTTGTTTTTAATAATTTTACATGTTTTTATATAGAGTAATTATGTAGCATTCAGGAATAATAATATTAATAATTATTTCTACCATTTACGACAAGATTCGTCCTATTATTTTTTAATCTTATCTGTGAGTGTGCTATTAAAGAAATTGAAAATTAATTAATTTTTATTTGTTTTTTCATTCGTAATATGCTCATTAAAAAAAAAATTAAAATTGCGTTACCTCTGAAAACGAAAAAACTTGATGAATTTCTGTTATTTAAAAAAGCGAGTATTTAAATAGTTGTTATTTAGTTTTAATTAAGGAGCACATATTTTTCCCACATTTCATACATTTTTCAATTTTAGAACTATAGTTTATCATAAATTTTAGATGATTTCGTTTTATGTTAAAAAAATTATACGAAAAAAATACCCAAAGTAACAAATGAAATTTGTTTACTTAAATTCATAAATAATTTTTTACTTCAATTTAAGTGTATAAATATTATGATTTAATAAATTTTCTCTATTAAATATGTTCTTAAATGGCACTAATATCTATAAACAAAATATTTATTTATTTATCTGTTATTATCATAATTAAAATGAAATTGCCCGATTCTATAGATTTGCCCATCTATTTTTAGTTTGAAACTTTCAATTACTTTTTTTTTTTACAGGTTTGTAGAACGTGTAATGCTACTGGACATAAATGCGGAGTGGCTGAAGGAAGCATTGCTGGTGAAGGGATCAATGATGCAGATTTCATATTTTATGTTTCTGCAATGCAAACCGAACGATGTCACAAAGGAATGACAGTCGCTTATGCCGCTCACTGCCAACAGGAAGCTGCTCTGGATCGGTAAAATAATCTTTAAATTTGAATCAATCATTTTTGACTAATGGTGAAAAATAAATAAGAATTCTTAAAATTATGTTATAGACCCATTGCTGGACATGCTAACCTGTGCCCTGGTAGTATAAGCACAAAACCTCAAGAATTAGAAACATTACTGAGCACAGTAAAACATGAAATTTTACATGCTCTGGGCTTTTCAGTGAGTCTGTATGCTTTCTATCGAGATGAAAATGGTAATCCCAGGACACCAAGAAGAAGTGAAACTGGAAAACCTCTACTCAATGAAAAGTATGATTAATATTTTTTCAATTTTGTTAAATTCATGAATTTAGAAAAAAAATCAAATTGAATATGATTTCTTAATTTTGCATTAAAAATGAGTTTTATAAAGTGATCCTTTCAAAAATTGAACGAAAAATATTATTTCTGTTCTATCTATATAAGAAATAATAGCAAATCGTACGTGTGGCTATTTATCATTCGACGCCAAAGTTTTCTCTCCGACCATATAGGAGTTTATCTATATAGTGTGTATCCTTCGAAATTGGAAAATTCCTTTGGCTGGGATACCTTGTGTTATCAAGGGATGCATTGTTTGTAAATTATGGATCCTGGAAATTCCAATCTTCTTTTTTTTTTTTTTTTTATTTTATTTCAAAAAATTATTTTTGATGGCTTGTTGTAGAGTTTATTTTCTATTATTTTTTTGATATGAAAAGGAAATGGTTTCCAATTTTGTGTACCTATTTTTTATTTTTCTAGATTACAAACCCATCAATGGAGTGAAAACACAATTAAGACCGTGATCAGACGAAACTGGCAAGTGCGTGGCACAACAGTGGAAAGGCCTATGCAAATGATTGTAACACCCCGAGTTCAAGAGGAAGTTCGTGCACACTTCAATTGCAAATTGTTGGAGGGTGCGGAATTGGAGGATCAAGGCGAGGATGGAACAGCTTTAACTCATTGGGAGAAACGAGTTTTTGAGGTATAATGTCATTAAATAATAAATTAGAAAAAATGTATAGTTATAAAAAGTATTTTAAAAATTATATTGAACAAATAAAAGAATTGATGATGTTAAAAGTTTGAATTTATGTATGCTAAATATATGAGAATATTATGATAAGTTTAAAAAGAAATGTTTCTTCGTAGAATGAAGCAATGACTGGAACACACACACAAAATCCTGTTTACTCGAGGATAACTCTTGCACTTATGGAGGATACTGGATGGTATAGCGCAAACTATTCGATGGCTCAGGAACTTGGCTGGGGTAAAAACTTGGGATGCGATTTTGCTATGAAATCTTGTAAAGAATGGATTTCCACAAGATCATCTCGTTTCTCGTCAGTATATTTAGAAATTTAAACACTTTAATGGATATATATTATTTTCCAATCACTCTCAGTTAATCCATCAGAGAATATTTAATAGTAATTATGCCCGTATTATATGGGATTAGGCTTCTATATATATATATGGAAAATTAAATTATATGCTATATGGAAATTTCGCTATTATCTCTAACGAAAGTTTAACGAGATATTCTCACAAAGTTATCTTACAGCATAATAATTCAAATTAAATAAACATAGAGTTTACAATTTTAAAAATTAATTAATTAATATTTTTTTTTGTTAAATATCACTTTTGAAAAGTTGAATTTTTAATTATGAAAGTAATAACATTTTCTTTTAATATGCTGCCTTTTTGAAATAACAGAGAACAAAAGTAAGTTAAGAAAAACTTTATTTGTATTCTTAAGTTTCTTAGAATAATAAAAAACAAATTTGTAGATGAAACTCTTAAAAGTTTTTTTTTAAACAAATTGAATTTTCTTTAACATGATGGTTTATTAATTTTCAGGGGCAAGTTGATTCATCCATTTTGCAACAAAGTGAAGCAAGATCCATTACAAACGGAATGTACTGATGACCGTAGTTCTGTAGCTTTGTGTAATTTAGTAGAACATCCTCAACCACTACCAAAAAAATATCAGGTACATTTTTATTTCATTTAATTTAAAAATTAAAAATTTTTGTAAAAACATTTAATCCTTTAAATTGAAACAAAATAATTGATATTTTATGATTAAAGAATACTTCTGTTTTTAGAATTTTGATTCAATTCCATACGTTCCTTCGGGAAAAGAGAAATTTTATGGTGGTTCGGTATCTCTAGCAGATTATTGTCCTTACATTCAAGAATTTACCTGGCGGGCCAGGAATATTGTTGTAAGGGGTTCGCATTGTTTGTATGAGGAAAACAATCCACGTGAGTAGAAAAGTCGAATTTTTCTTTTTATTTTCATAAAGAAGAAATCTTTTTTAAAATAAATTCAACTGCATATTAATAATCATATTTGTGCAGTGAGTTGAAAAATGTAATATTTTTATTTATTTATTTTTTTAAAAATAAATTTAACTGTACATTAATAATTATATTTGTGCAGTGAGTTGAAAAAAAACTAATATTTTCTGCTTGGTTTCATTTAGTTGCTGAAAAGAATTTCGCTTTGGAAAAATATGGACCTCATTCCAGGTGCTTTGATCATACAAATCAAATGTGGGTAGAAAGAACTTGTAAACAAGCTAGAGAATGGCAACATTGGGGATCTGGTTGTTATCAATATAAATGTGAAACTGGAAGACTGCACATAATAGTAAATATTTTAGAGAATCATAGCAATAAAGAAATATTTTCTTTTACAATTAATATTCTTTTTTAGGTAGCAAATTACACCTACACCTGTTATCACGCTGGACAAGAAATTGCAATCAGAATTATGCAAAATGAATGGTTGCACAAAGGAGCCCTTAAATGTCCACCTTGTAAGGATATTTGCCAGGTAAAGACAACCCTAGAAATTAGTTATATTTATTTAAAATTAAAAATTTTTGAATTATTAAAATTCAATTGGTCATTTAGGCGGAGTTAAAAGCACAAGGAGAATGGTGCAAACCAGGGGATGAACATCCTCCTGCAACATTTTATCCAAGGGACGATCTGCACTGTGGATCCTCCAGAATCATCAGTCTGAATCTATTTGTATATATCGTCAATATTTTCCTATTTATCACCAGATGATCTAATGTGAATTATAGTTTATGTTAATTGTTAAAAAAGACCTAATTCGTAGATCGATGTTTTAACATTGTATTTTCATCAAGAAACGTATCAAGCGAGCTTCATGTAAAATGCATTATTTTTTTAAAGCTCATTATTATTAGATACGTTGACAGAGAAAACTTTATTATGAGAGTTTTAATTAAACATTGTGATTTATGAATGATATTATAACGAACAAAGTTATTCATTGTATAGATTTCTTTTAATTGTTATTGAACATATTAACTGAGAGAGAAATTGCAAAATGACTGGTTAATTTTCGGAAATTGCTATCAGTATTTGACAAGTAACATTCCCTTAAAACTCGACTAAAGTATAACTTTATTAATTATTATTCAATTTTTTATTTCCAATTTTTATGACGTGTAATTTATTTTTAAGACTTGACATGCTTTAATGTATGAATAATTCAGTGGAAATATTGTCAAGAACAACCATTTTTAGTCTCGTAGATAGATTAAAATGTAGAGATTTTACGTCAGATTTTATTATGATCTATTAATATGAACAAAGTATTTAAAGAATCGACATTTTTCCTACCATTTAAAAATAGAAAATAAAATACATACACATTTTTAATCGTATTAACGACGAAAAGAATAAAAAGACATAAAACTAAAAATTTATAATACATATCTAGTGATTCTAAAACTTTAGCGAAAAGTTAAGTACATTTTTCTAAAAGAATTCATGTGATTTGGAAAAATATTCTTTTCAAAATAGTATTAATTCTTAGAAATGAACTCAAATGTAAATATTTTAAAAGTATTACTTTTCACATAAATACAAATAAAACTATTTTTAAAAAAATGCAATATTGTATTTGCATTTTTTTAACCTATAGCTAAAACCCGTTATAGTTTTATTATTCAGAAAAAATATAAATAGGGTTTTTTCTTAAATGTTAAAACTCATTTCGCTAAAGCTTTTTGAATTGTTTAAGTTAAGATATTTGTAAAAAGTATAGAAAGCTTTTTAAAGAATCTCCTCTAATTTTTATCTGTAATAATTTAAGTGCGATAAACATTTTTCTAGAATGTGAGATAATAAAATGTAAGAATGTGAACGCGTATATATAATACATTTAATTCATAATACAATTTATTAAAAGTTTGAATGATATCATCGTTTTTGTAAACGATTCGTTATATTATAATTAATGTAATTGGAATGATTAAAAATCAAGTTTATAGTATTATTCAAGTCATTAAGTAGTTTGAGAATTTTTAAAAATGAGAATGTAATATCAATTAGAATTTTAAGACGAATGAAAACCTTTATCTTGTGAAAAAAAACTTTAAATCTTTAAATGCCGTATTTAGTTTAAAGTTTTTTTTCCATAAAATTAATTTTTTTAATTACTTGATATTCATAAATTAAATTTTAAATTTGAAGACAGTTTGCGTTGTTTAATATAATTTAAATCATATTTATAATTACAATTGCAAATTATACATGAAACCTGCACTGCGGATTGTTTTAGAATTATTGTTCTCAAATTAAAATTTTACGAGTATTCTATCCAATATATTTTAATTTTTGAAAATGTAGCAAATATTGCAAATTTTAACAAACTAATTAACAGGTTAAAACACTTCATATCATCTTTCCGCAGTGAGGGATTAATAATATTTCATTTCAAAAATAAGAGTATTATCAACGCATTTATTTTGTATTACATATGCAACTTAATAAACAAAATTGTATATACATCAGTGAAAATTCATTAATTTTTTCAATGCTGAAATATAGCTGCCGATGTAAACTTAATACCCAGACATGAATTGATAACAAATTTAAATGATTTAAAAAATTTTCAATTTGGATAACGTATTTCAATTTTTATGGTTTAAAAAATAAAAAATTTTGTAATTAATTACATTTTGTACAGTAAAATCTATTAATATTTGAAAAGTAAAAAATTAAAAATATTGTTGATGAGGTAAAGTAATTATAAATTGTTATGAATCAATATTGTTTTAATAATCCATGAACAACTTACAATTTTGTGTTACAAAGTTAAACATGACAGTTTATTTTTATTATTCATCCCTAAATAATTATATAATAAATAATGTTGAAACAGAGATTCTTTTTATAAATCTTAAAGTCTTGTAAACTTACAGGTGAATAATTTTTTTTTTTTACATTAGAATACAACATGAATTTTTGTTTACAATTTAGATAAAATTACATTTTTATGACGTCATACGGTCATATAGTTATTAATTATAAGAGTTTAATATTTCTTTTACATGTTTTTTCAAAACTTTACCGACATATTTGGAATCTCTATAATATTTAAATTCATATATAAATCTGCGTTTCTAATTACAAATTGGTATCTATATTTGTGCTGCGCATTATCAGTATGATATTAATCTAATAGGTACTTTTATAATTTTTTTTTTTTTTTTGTTAAGAATATGAATTTTTTTTTATTCTATTCCTTTGTTCAGGTAATTATATAATACAATAATTAAAAGAAAATTTTTTGATTTATATATTTTTTAAAAGATTTTTTTAGCACAATAATTCAAAGAAATGTTAAATTTTTGCAATTATATATTTATATTATAAAATATAATTTGTATAATATAAAAATTTTATATTTAATTAAATTGTTATTTATGAAACTAAAAAAGTTTTTATTTGGATTTCTTAAACTATTTATCGTATTAGTATATTTTATGATAATTGAAGCCCTGTGCGTTTAATTACATTTTTTTTAATACTATTATTTTTTCACTTTCACAATAATTATCCTTATCAATGGGCAGTGAAAACGATTTTAATAATTTTTGTTCAACATTTTTTTTTTCATCTTGACACTTTTTATTTTATTCTAGAACTATATAAAATTAATAAATTTATTTGTAATTTTACAAAGCTCTCTTTTTAAAAAAGAGTCCTTATTTATATTAATTTAAATTTATAGAATTATAAATTTTTTAGCTGTCGTTTATTTTAATGTAAGCAATTTCTAATTAAATTTAATTAGAAATTTAAAAATGAACATAGAAAAAAATAAAAAGTAATTTTTACTACTTTCATAGTAAAGCGGGAACTGTTTAAAGTTTCTGCGCATCTCTGGCAACTTTTACTCCAAAAATAGTAAAGTTTACTTCAGAAATAGTAAACATTACTACGGAACAGTAAAATTTACTACAAAAAATAGTCAATTTTACTATTTTTGGTGTAAAAGTTGACAGAGATGCGCAGAAACTTTGGACAGTTCCCGTTTTACTATGAAAGTAGTAAAAATTACTTTTTCTTTTTTTCCGTGAATATATGCATTATTTTTTTTAATGTAGAAGTTTCTTAAGCGGTTTTATTTGTATTAAAAATTTGACTTTTTAAAAAACAAAAATTTTATCTTTAAATTGTGACAAGTAAAAGAAATATATAGACGTATATATATATATATGTATAGAATTTTACAAAACATTTACCAAATTACAAAAATTTATTTCTAAAAGATAAAATGAGAAACTTGTAATTATTTTTATTTTATTATTTAATTTTCTTTTTTTAGCAAGTAATTTTGATATACTTATTTAGTTTTTATGAACTGTAATATATATTTGAAATTTTATGTCGACACTAAATGTTAATTGCTTTATCCTGCCACCACGCATTACTAACTGCTATGCTCCGGAGAATCGGAGTATTCAGTTTGCGTGGCAGCATCCTTTCCTCACGTGATCATTTTTTCTTCGTTAACTATGTGTCTTGCTTCCCATGGCAGAGGCGGGGGTGTTAGTGCTAATGATGATGACGAACATCTTGCCATTGAACAATGATCCATGGAACATCGATCTAAACCTACGAAATTTTTAAAATTTTAATAATTTTTTCTATAAAAATATATTTTTGTCTAATTTAAAGTGCAATTTGGTTGAAAAAAATGAATTATCTGATTAAATTTTCTTTTTTCAAATTTGATCGATTGTAATTTTTTCATCTTTTCTGATTTTTGAATTTTCTTTACTGATTTATTAATGGCTTGAATATGAAAGCTTTGTTTCGTTAATAGCTGTATATAAACAAAATGATTTGTGGAGCACATTGGATTCGGATGAATAGAATATTCACGCGCCGCTTAATGACACTGATTATTAGTGTTGATTGTAAATCGTTAGTTATGAACGGTACACTAGAGAACACGGAGAATGCCTTTAACGATCAATAATGGAAACCATCGAAAAGCTAGTACCTATTGCTCGTTAGTACAAAGTCTGATCACGTGAAAACACAATTTTGTTTAATGAACTACGCCAAGACGAGGGTTCGCCTTACTCTCTATATTTTTTACATTCTTCTTTTTCTACTCTTTTTTCCAATATACAATTTTGCAATAATGCACAATTTCAAAAATAAATTTGAAAAAAAAAAATTGAAAATTGTTACTTTTACCTGATAAATCTAGTCCAGCAATGCTACAGACATCCAAACCACCTGTACTAGTTGCACAGCAATGCTGTTTTGGCCCAAGAGGTTTCGATCGGCATAAAATCTGAAATAATTAAAAAAGTGTTTTTGAAAATTTTTGAAAATATTTTTTTTTTACTTAAAATTGCCTTCAATCTCTTATAAGTATTCTTTTGAAACTCGAGTAATTTCAAAGGAAGAAAAGTACATCTCTAGTACCTAACTAAAAGATTAAATCCTTTAACTCGGGTGCTCACTTCTTTTCTTCCTTTATCCTCTCGTAAAAATCTTTCCAAATAAAATAGTGAACGTTTTAAAGTCTCTGATTCTTAAAGAACATTCGAAACACAAATATAATAATAAAAAAGCATTTTAGTTATATTTATTGAAAAGGTACTATATTATTAAAGGTCTTTAAAAAAATCTTTAAATGAAGAAAAAAAGAGCAATTTGAAGATGATGTTGAGAGGATTTTTAGAAAGGATTTCAGATATAGACTAATGCACTCTTTATGTGTGAGAACATCGTTACAAGGGCTAAAACGAGATTTTGCCCATAGCTCGTCGTCACCATGGCTGTAAGGCAGTGGTTACACTCGATATTTTTCACTTTTTTTTTTTTTTTTTTTTTTTTTATATTCCCTTTCATCGACGGCTAAGAGGATCGACCAAGTCAAGAAGAAGTCTACTATACATCACCGGGCGAAATTAAATAGAAATAAAAGTGTCTCTGGAAATCATCAAATTCTATTATAATATTGAAAAAAAGTTCAGAAATAGATTATGGAAATTATTTTCATCTGAGTAAAATATTACTTCTTAATTGAAATTGTTGTTTTTAATAAATTTTGATTAAAAAAAGTAATGATTCATACCTTCGTATAGAAGATTTCTTTCGAAATTCGTCGAAAGTGATTGTTGAGTAACCAATAAAGAAAAGGATTCCAAAAGCTGTTGGAAAGAGCGAGCCACGTTGCTAGGAATTCGAGGAATGGTGGTGGCTTACTTCCGGTACATGCAACCACAACTTCCTGGATGGTCCATGGGGTGACCATGACGATGAATCCGAGACTCATCGCTGCCATTGTTCGTGATGCAGAGGTCGACAGTCGCCTCTCGTGGACCTTGAACTAAAACATATTGAAAATATCAGCATTCAATAAACTACTTCCATTACCAACATTATAGACTCATTCAATCACTTTATTTAATTTTTTTTACACGGAGAAAAATGGAAAAACGAATAAAACCCTAATAACACAAGATATCTTGGGATATACTGATAATATCCCGCAGATATCCTAAGGATGTCCTATAGCACGGTAGTTCTTAACTCACTTTAACCCAAAAGTTTCTTCACTGTAAAATTTCTTCCATATCTTGAATCTGGACACTTTTCTGAGTATTTTGCAAAAAAATTCAAAATCTTTTATCTTGCCGTTTTTGAGAAAATCGATTTTTAGGTTAAAAAACAAAATTTTTAATTTTCATGAGGAACAGTGTCTAATATCGCGGTAAATATTAACATAAAACCAAATTTTATTAGAAATAAGTGTTATTCGAGCTTCTTTGATATTTTTTGCTTGGAAGAATAGCGAAATTTGTTTTCATTTTAATTTTTGGTTTACAATTGGCGATGAATGAATAAATATATTTACCGGCAATATAACATCTATTGGATGTTATTTGAACTAAATTTAGTATAAAGTTATTAAATTACATAATTTTTTATCCTGATATTACACAATTTTTCTCATAAAACAAAAAATTCAATTTCTTAACCTAAAAATCGATTTTCTCAAAAACGGCAAGATAAAAGATTTTGAATTTTTTTGCAAAATACTTAGAAAAGTGTCCAGATTCAAGATATGGAAGAAATTTTACAGTGAAGAAACTTTTGGGTTAAAGTGAGTTAAGGACCACCGTGATAGATATCAAAAGGATCTCTTAAGGATATCCAAAAAAGCGGCGGTTTGGATATCCTTTAGAGATCCCATGGATATCTTAGGATGTACATAGGATATCTTCTGGATATCTCTATAGACTTTCATAAATGTCCTCCAGATAACCCATAGATATCGTCAGGATATCCCACAGATATCATCAGGATATCCCACAGATATCATCAGGATATCCCATTGATATCGTCAGGATATCCCACAGATATTTTCAGGATATTCTCAGTATATCTTCTGGATGTCAAGAAGATATTCTCAGGATACTGTTTTTAAAGTCATTATGAGACTATACAAGTGAGAATATTCTGTGAATTAAATTTTATATAAATAAAATAAAATGCAACTTGTTTTTCGAGAAAGTTGTTTAATTTGAAAAATTATTAACTAATTTTTTTCTCATTCGTAATTCATTCCTTTATTCATATGCTTAATATTGCCAGAAAATAAATTAGCTTTAAACAATATAAATTCTTCCCCGCAAATAACGAATAACTATTAATATTAATTATACATTAAGTGCATGAGTTTATTTAAAAACTTTGAAAAATGCGTTTCAAATCTTCATTTCAAATAAATTAGAAGCTCATAAGATTTTTCTTTTTATTATATTATTATTCATTATATTTGCTTAACAATTTTAACCTTTAAAAATATATGTTGAGATATTAAATATCCCGTGAATATCCTAAGAATATCCAACGGACATCCTGAGGATATCCCATAGATATCCTGCGATATAATATCCAATAGATATTTTATGGATGTCTTAGGGATATCCTGTGGATATCCTATGGATGTCCTGTTGATGTCCCACAGACCGGCGGTTCGGATATCATAGAGATATCCTGGGGACCATTCTAGAATATCGACCACTGATATGGATATCCTAAGGATATCCTTTTGTTATGAGGGAAGTAACTTTTACTATACTTTTAAAGTAAAACCGGAACTGTCCGCAGTTTCTGGCAATTTTTACTCCAGAAATAGTAAAATTTACTATTTCCGGAATAATTTTTGCTATTTCAAGAGTAAATTTTACTATTTCTAGAGTAAAAATTGCCATAAATGCGCAGAAGCTGCGGACAGTTCCGGTTTTATTTTTAAAGTAGTAAAAGTTACTTTATTCGTTTTTCCATTTTTCTCCGTATACGGTATATATTTAACGAATATTTGACTTTTTTCTTTATTTGTCAATTTCAAAATTTGAAATGAAAATGCTACTTTTTCATTTTAATACATGTGTAATCAAACTATTGGATTATGGAAATTTAAATGGGGCTTATGTATTATATTTCAAGTGACTCCTTCAAAGCCGAGTACGTTTGCTCATCTAGCAAATGATTTAATTTCAGTCGACCCAACAGGATTATAACTTGAATCCTGTTTCATAGCTTTCACGTATGATCTAAGTAGCTCAACTATCTTTCCATTGCGTAAAGCTTTTTGGCTTAGCAACGTTTTTGACTTTCTACACTTTTGACGTTAACTTTAGTCATTTAAATTTCAAACCGGATTTTCCTCAAACATAAATGAGGTTAAAATTTGAACACAATTTTCTTTTTCAAAAACTCCTAAATTTAAAATGCCGATTAATAATTAAATGTTGTTTAACATTTTTTGTTTTTTTTTTTTGCAAACTATTATTTGAAAATTCATTTATTCATATATTTTTTGATCCACTTTAAAAGATTGTTTTCCCATGATTCGCATTTCATTTTTCTCTTGAAGCGCTCATTTTTGTTTAGTCTTTTTTTCAAAGTATAATCTCACACATTGCTCAATTGAAAACAGCTGCACGAATATGTATGTCAATGCTATTGCAACATCGATCAGGAGCGACCTCATTGTGTCTTTAATCGTCTTTTATATATCCAAAATGGTTTCTATGCTCCCTTTTTAACACTTAGCACTTCATCCCTTTGATGGTGAAAAAAATTTTATACGCTATTGCAGATATATACATACAAAATTCTCCAATATCCTACCAAAATATTTAATAGTTGGATATATGAAATGCATAAAAAAGATCTCGTTTTCTATTAAGATGGAAAAAATGTTGTCTGACTAAAATTTACCTTTACTACTGATTATACTCTCTAAATCTGAAGAAGTGAAATTTCATTTAGAATGTTTCAAAAGTCTTCCACGTAGAAAAATAAGTTATGCATTTAAAAATAAGTGATTTTTACTCAAAAATAAGTGAAGTTTCACTTATTTTTAAGTGCATAACTGATTTTTCTACGTGGAAGATTTTTGAAACATTCTAAGTGAAATTTCACTTATTCAGATTTAGAGAGATAACATTAAAAAAAAAACTTGTGTCTAACTGAAATTTTGTCTAAATTATTAAATGAAAAACATTCTGTCTGACTAAAACTATTATTTCTACTAACACACCGGTTTATAGTGAAGTTACCAATCGAACGAAACAATTTTTCTTCGATTAATTTTTTTGAGTAAGAAAAACATATTTTGGATTTTTTCTTTCGTGCAATTTTGTTGAATCTAAAACAAAAACATTTTTCAGGTGTGACGTCACTTAAATTCACTTGTAGGAAAATTAGCTAGTTCAAATATAATAAATAATATACCGTTGGAAAGGTAATTACATAAATTATAATACCTTTCGAACCATCGGTTGTAGAATAAAATCCAATAAAAATTAACAGACTTATAGGTAGTTAATCAGAGTTCAAATATATTTCATGAAAATTTTGATGATTTTTAAATACTTCTCTAACTTTTGCTAATTTTTTCTAATTTAAACAATAAAAAAAGGTAATGTTATAAATTTTTTATCGATAGTATAGGGTAAATGTTCTAATTACGGCGCGATTCGAGTAAAAACACCTTTGAAATAGAATATTCAACATTTCTATTGTATAAAGTCCATTTAAGACTTATTAAACTAAAAGCTTTTGTTATTTAGATATTAAAAAAAATTTCAACTTTATAAAAATCGATTATTTAAACAAATATGAGAATTTAAAACGAATACCATAATTTTCTATTACGGCGCGTTTGTATCAATTACGGTGACCAAAATTACATGTATTCTGAAGATACTTTTCCCACCGTAATTGGAGCCAATGAAAATCTTAAAAATGTTTCAATTACGACGAGGGAAAAAATTTGATCTCAAAATAATTAAATTAATAATTGTTTAAGTGTGCATCTATTATATATTAAATATAATAGTAGTAATAGTTATTTTTTATGAACGCGCCGTAATTGATGCACTTACCTTATTTAATTAAGAAAATTTTGAGCGCAAGTAGAGCGCAATCGGATGAAATATAAAAATTCTACACTAAATTTATAGTGAACTAAAGAAGTTTTTTATTTTTAGTAGCCTCTCAACTGATTTCGATCTATAAATCTCTTTTGTATTAAATCCATTTCTTTGTTAAAAATTTAAATATTTTTGATTATCATGTGACCAACGGTTCACAAAGGACTCCGCACTAAATACACAGAAAATGGCTTACGGTTAAATTTGGCTATATTTTTCTGTGTATTTAGTGCAGGGTCCTTTGTTATACTTTTGTAAAAAAATGTTTTGTGCAATAAATCAATACCAATTTCGTAATTGTAGAAATAAAAAAGAAAAAACGTTTGCAGCAAAAATGCAAACTATAAAATAAAGTTAAGCTAAAGTTTTAAAAATCTCTAATCTAGTTTCCTTTTTAGATTCAACAAAATTGCACAAAATATGTTTTTCTTACTTAAAAATTAATCGAAAAAACATGTTTCGTTCGATTGGCAAAAAAAAAGGTTTTTTTTGTAAACCTAATATCGCATATAGTTTTTGTTTGAGTTGATGGTCTCTTACAGAACTCTCGCGCAGTCAAATATTGTATCACACATAATACTTTGAAAATATATATGAATCCAGCATCCATTGACCTACATTTTCTATAGGTCGAGAAGGGAGTTTCTTATAAATAAGTTGTCTGCGACATCTTCTATTATCAGCGAAGATGGCTTTCAGATTGTATGAGTTTTGCTGAGGGCGTGGATAGGAAAAATGAAAAGCGAGCTTTGAAGTGAAATGAAAAGAAGATTATAAGGGTGATCTATACATTTTGAAATAAAAAAAAAGAAAAAAAAACTCTGATAAACTTTTTCCAATTGCATAAATGTATACAAAAAGTATAATGACCCTTTGGAGATTTATGGATTTAAAATTGAAAATATATTGACGAATATGTAAATGTTTCAATTGTTTATTTATGTTGTCCTGAAGGCTCGTCAGAAATTGTAATTGAGAAAAGCCCCGTAGCGAACAATGGTTACTCTGCTTTCAACATTTCTGCATCGAATCAATTTCCCACGAGAATCACCAGAAACTCGTTACCAGAAAAAAAAAAACAAAAGAAGGGTCTAAACCACGCCACAGTTTCTTCCAACTCTCCAACATATACACTCTGCGATCGACACTTTCGTTGCTTCCTCTTTCTCACGACTACTCCATATCCTTATTGGACTGGTCGACCACTTTTATAGATTCGCGCTCGATACCAGCAAAGTATAACGGTTGAAGGTGCCAAAAAAAGTTTCAACCTCTTTAAATGAAAAATGAATAGGATAATATTTACAGAAAAGTTGCTTTCTATGAATTTTCTTCGAAATGTAAATTTTATATAGTAAATTGAGTGGAAGAAGGAAATTTAAAAAACAAATTGCTCGCCTTTCAACTATTTTTCAAAAAAAAAATTACTTTCTTTACTTACAATTAAAACTGTAATTGGGTAAATTTCCAACCAAAAATTTCAGTATTATACCAGAGTTAACTACTGGCGCAGTACTGGTTCAGTATTGGCTGGCAAGGCTGGGCAGTCTGTACTAAACCAGTACTGGTATTTTCATTGTATCAGTACTGGTGCAGTACCACCCTACCAGTACTGGAAAACCAGTACTGAGCCGATATTGAGCCAATACTGGCTCAAATATAGATTTTCTTTTTGATTAATACTAGTTTACAAAAAGTTCTAGAGTGAACCTGATGAATCTTTTTGTTTAAATATTTTGTTTATAAACATTTTTTCACTTTGATTTCACAGAAAATTAAAAGGCATTAAAATAAGCTGCAACGCTTATATTATTTTAATCCAATTTTGCTTATTTTAATCCATTTTGGTTGCATAAGCGTTGCAGCTTATTTTAATGCCTTTTAATTTTCTGTATATTTTTGAAAATTAAAAGGTATTTTATTTTGCTTTTTTGTGGGTAAAATTATTTAAACAAAAAGTTTCCTGAGACTAATTCCAAAACATTTTGCAAGTTTTTTTTTATTGTTTTCAGATATGCAATAAACCAAAAAAAATTTTAAACGATCAAACTAAAAATAAATAAAGTTTTTTATAAAAAAATTAATAATTTTTAAAATAAAAATTTAAAAAAATTTTCTTAACAACACTTGTTAAAACTTAAAAAACAACTTTTATTTTTTTAAAAAAGTTTTTCAAAAATTTATTTTGATGCAAATAATTAAAGTGAATAATAAAATAAGTAAATAGCTAATTGTATAATTATATACATTATAATTATTTTATAAACATTTTTATTTTTACTCAACTGTTTTTATATATTATAAAAACTTTGGTTTTATAATATAAACATATTTTTATATTTATTTTTTGATTTTTAAAAAATAATAATTTGCAATATATATTATACTTAATAAAAAATAAAAACTCTTGGTGTTTTCGATTTTATATATAATAAAATATTAATTAGTTAGTTGACTAATTTAATTTGTGTTGGGTTACTAAAAATTTCACACACTTTCTACCTGGAGCAGAGATTTCACTATATCACTGTTACAGTTAAAGCTTTCTTTTCGTATACAATAAATTACAAAATTACCCGTACTCTGCCAGTACTGAACCAGTAGTGGTTACCAGTACTGGTGCCAAAACTGGAAGCCAATACTGGTAAAATGTTATCATCCCAAAGTTACACCCTAAAAAAAGTAATCTTGATTCTAGCGAATTCCTCATAATTTGATGCATATTTTCCTCTTAAATATTGTATCAAAAGTAATAGTCTTCACTTGAGAGGATTTTCCTCTCGCATATAATTTGACAATTATGGTTATAAACTGATAAAGAAAAGCTATAATCATGCACTAAATTAAATATCCTTAATTAAATATTAAATATAATTAACGATTTATAGTTAATTACTTACATTAATTAATAGATTTGTTTATTTATTTAACTTTAATTCAATGTTTTTGACATCAGAACCTCAAAAAAATTGTTTTGTTTTATTATTAGTCACCAAAGAATAAAAATATTCTACATTCAAGTGGAATACTTTTGTTTTAAGAGGAAAAATTGAGAGGATATTAGAAGAGGATTTTTCCTCTAAATATGAGATTACTTTTTTCAGGGTGTACGCCAACTCTGGCGCCAATACTGTGTGCCAGTACTGGGCCAATACTTGTCAGTACTGCGCCATTAGGAAATTTTTGATTGGGTTGTAAATTTGAAAAAAAAAACATTTGTTCGTTGAATTCTAAAATCCATAACATTTGGTTGACTTTCCAAACAAAAAAGTATAAGTGACTAAAAACTTGTATTATTGAAAGGAAATTCAGCTTTTTATTTGATAATCAGTGGGTTGTTGCCTTTTCTCATCCTATATATCATATTTTCCAGCATTATATTATAGACAAAATGGGTTAAGTGCACGACGTCAAAAGGGGCGCGCAGTTAACTCGAGACCGTTTCGACAATATACATATATATATATCTTGTTCTGGATATGTTATTCGTTCTAAACAAATTCTACAAAAAAAAAAATTTTAATTAATTTTTTCCTTAAACTTTTTTTTTTTTTAAATTGATACCAATAATTAATAATTAAATTTACAATGTAACAGTTTTTTTGGAAAAAAATATTTTTCTGCTTACATTTGCGAAACCGTGAATTATCACCAAACGTAAAAGGAGGTTTCGCTGAGAGTATATAGTTGAAACAAGTTGAATTAACGACGTTTCCGGAAGTTCGAGCGGCACTTCCGCTTTGTACAACCAAGTCGATAAATTTTACAATGTGCCGCGGTTGTAGAAATGAAATCACGAAAATTGTACAACCAAATTCGTGTTCTATTGTGAATCGATTGTAAATTAAACGAACAAGACAAATGTCAATTGAACCTCAGAAAATTTATAAAAATAAATGTTTTCTCTTAAATATGATTTTTGGATTGATTAACGAATAAACCTTATTTTACTCGGTGCCAAGTTTAAAGTAGGTATAAAAAAAAGGTTGAAGGTAGAGACAGTTATGTTGCTTTTGAGCTTTGACGTTGCTGCTTGAAAATTTCATTAAGTTTAAAAGTTCGTTTCCCCTTTCAGAGTCAGTATCCTTTTCAAGTGGCGAATCGTATATGAGTTTACAAAAGTTTGAGGGGTGCGAAGGTTGGTTGAAGTTTAGAAAATTTTGGCAAGCCAGATATCTAGTTGTTTTCTTCGTTTTCTTCATCGAGCTTTCGTGCCTGGCAGGATGTGGATATACGCCCCAGTTTTCACCGCAAACAATATTTTTCTTCTTGCACACACCCGCATCCCGCAGAATCACATTTATCTCGACATTAGTCAGGGATTTCCCTCAGACCGACCTTGTAAATGTAAAAGAGACCCGATTTCTCATCCTCTCGTTTCTTTTCTTTCTTTTTTTTTCCTGCCTCTTTCCTTCCGGTCCGGCGTCTACTAAGATTTCGCGTCATTGGCTGCGCTACCAAGGGAAAAGAAAAACTCTTGAAAGCCTCCGTCTTGGTAATTTCCGGTTCGCAATGAGCGTCGAAACCCTCAGAATTATCTCAATTTCTGATTTCATCTTCACAGCCACTTCATAGCTGAATAATTTTTTACAAAAACTTTGCCTCTATATATTTCCCCTATTGCACATATTTTTTCAAATTTATTAAACACTTTTAATAAAATTCCTCGTCGTACTTTTTTTCCTTCCATATTTAACTTGAAATTGAATATGGTACTTTAAAAATTAAATCGAATTACATAAAGAAGGTATGCAAAACTAAAAAATCACTTCATACTCAGAAAATTGTTTATTCTCTAATTACTTTGGAATTCTCATAACAGAAAATTAATGTATACACTCATCAGGATTACAAACTTTTTAATTTTTTAATGTCTTAAAAAAAGATTTTTAATTTTCATCACTAAACTTTGCAAATTTTCTATATAACATTATAATTTCATAATTACTCATCTTCACATAAAATAATAAGAATGAAACTAATTTTAAAGTAAACTTTTTGTTGAATTGCTTCAAAATTAAATTTACCCCCGTCTTTGTTATATGACAAAGGCAATTACAGTGTAATTACAAAGACCCCCTCAGTAATTGTGATTGTGACATAATTGAATGGTTGCGAGGGATAGTTTAAAGGAACTAGAAATATCGCCTATAAAAAAAGAGTTCTTTCTTTAAATAAAAAAAAAAAATTTAAATCCACCATCAAACGTGATAAAAATGAATTGCTTTGGATATATAGTGAGAAATTTAAGACGTTTATTAGATCAAAATCAAAATCCAGTGTTATATAATACTCACCCTCTCGATGTGTCCACCGCCGACAACTTCCGGCGTGTTGACACAAACTACCCTCTTTAAGCGCAGTTTGTTGACGTGAAAGGCAGAACCGTAACAGTACATGAGTACCATCGTCGTAGGAAAATAAAAGCAACAGCATGCAAGAATCCTAAAATCAATTTTAAATTAATATATCTGTACTTGTGATTTTGTTCTATTTAGAATTAAATTATTAGTTCGTCAAAAATATAATTGAACATTGGCGTGCTAACAACAATTTTACTACGCCAAAACTTAACTTATAGGGTAAGTGTACCAATTACGGCGCGTTTATAAAAAATAACTATTATTACTATTATTATAAAATATTTAATGTACATTGAGAAAAAATATTTCTTTGACAAATTTTTCTTTGATTTAAAGAAAATTTAATGTTGCAAACAAATTATCTTTGATTCAAAAAAATTATATTCGTTTTAAAGAAATTTGTTATTTAATTCAAATAAATGTTTCTTTGACCCTATATCAATGTTAGAATTTCTTTGGTTTAATGCACAAATTTCTTTCATTCAAAGAAAATGTTTTTGAATCAAAGAACTCAATGTCAAAAAACTGATTTTTTAAATCAAAAAAATGTTTTCTCTGGGTGTAACTATTGCAATATGATTTAAAAAAATTATTTTAATCTTTTTTTGATACAATTACACGGAGAAAAATGAAAATACGAATAAAATAACTTTTACTACTTTAAAAAAGTAAAATCGGAACTGTTCACAGTTTCTGCGCATTTCTAGCAATTTTTACTCCAGAAATAGTCAAATTTACTCCTAAAATAGTAAAAATTTACTCCGAAAATAGTAAAAATTTACTCCTGAAATAGTAAAAATTTACTTCGAAAATAGTAAAAATTTACTCCTGAAATAGTAAAAATTTACTCCGAAAATAGTAAAAATTTACTCCTGAAATAGTAAAAATTTACTTCGAAAATAGTAAAAATTTACTCCTGAAATAGTACAAATTTTCTCCGAAAATAGTAAAAATTTACTCCTGAAATAGTAAAAATTTACTCCGAAAATAGTAAAAATTTATTCCTGAAATAGTAAAAATTTACTCCGAAAATAGTAATAATTTACTCCTGAAATAGTAAAAATTATTCCAGAAATAGTAAATTATTTGACTATTTCTGGAGTAAAAATTGCTAGAAATGCGCCAGAAACTGCGGACAGTTCCGGTTTTACTTTTAAAGTATAGTAAAAGTGACTTTATTCGTTTTTACACTTTTCTCCGTTTACTTATAACTTAATTGAACTATTTGAGATCAAATTTTTTCCCTCGCCGTAATTGAAAAATTTTTAAGATCTCCATTAGCTTCAATTACACTCAGAAAAAAGATATGTTTGAACCAAATGTACCATTTTTTTATATTTACCCAATTTTTTGGTTAGTTCAAACAAAATTTGTTTAATTCAAATAAATATTTATTTGATCTAAATAACTGTTTGGTTTATTTTAATAAATTTTTTGAACAAAGAAAAAATTTGATTGAGCTAAATAAACGTTTGGTTTATGCAACCAAATGTTTGGTTAACTGTATATTAATGCATTTATTTTGTTGATTTAACCAAAATTTGGTTGCTTCAAATGAATTTTTTTCTGAGTGCACGGCGGGCAAAGTATCTTCAAAATACATGTAATTTTGGTCACCGTAATTGATGCAAACGCATCGTAATAAAAAATTACGGTAATAATTTTAATTTTTCATATTTGTTTTAATATTCGATTTTTCTAAAGTTAGACATTTTTTTTAATATCTAAATAACTTTTAGTTTAATAAGTCTTCAATTAATTTTCTACAATATAGAAATGTCGAATTTTCTATTTTAAAGGTACTTTGACTTGAATCGCGCCGTAATTAGAACATTTACCCTAATTCAAAATTTTTTTTTTGTTTAAATCGCATAAAAAAGTTTTATTAGAATTTTTAAAAATTCGATTAATCGTATTTTAGAAAATATAAATCGTATATTTGAAAATTTATCAATAATAAATCCAATACCTAAGCGAGGCTCTAGAAAAGAAGGGATCGCAGGCGAGAAGGCCAGTCGCATTGAAATAATATCCGCCCTTAGGGAGAACCAGGAGTCCAAAAGTTGCCACGCTTGCTATCCAAGTGGTTGACATAATAGCCACACAACCCTGCCGCATGTAATACTATATCAACAAAAAAAAACAAGAAAGTTGACAATATTTATTTTTAGAAAAATATAGATTTCAGAAGAAATCATGGAAAAGTGTTTCTGTTTTTTTTTCAAATAAATTATTTTTAATACAAAATTTACGCAAAAAAAATTCCATTTTAAATTAAATAAAAAACGTAAAAATTGCAAATAATGTAAATAAATGCAAAGACACGATTCATCGAAGAACGAAATTATTCTTTATTACTTTGGTTTTAAACTCTCCTTACTTTTTTTTGTTAACAGTCACCCAATCAACATTCTAAAGCTTAACACAGAAAATTAAAAGGCATTAAAATAAGCTGCAACGCTTATTATTTTAATCCAAGTTTGCTTATTTTAATCCATTTTGGTATTAAAATAAGCAAAATTGGATTAAAATAATAAGCGTTGCAGCTTATTTTAATGCCTTTTAATTTTCTGTGAAATTATATTCTTCTTTATTTATTTTGACTCGCAATTTTTAATCAATTTTTCCAAAAAAGAATAAAGCAAATAATCTTATAATCTATATAGCCTCTAGTAAAATAAATAATTTTGCAGTAAGTGATTAAACATTAATTCCTATATATATATATAAAATGGATTAGAAAACTTTAATTAAAAAATGTAAGGGAAATTGTCAAGTAGAAAAAAAAATAATCAACTGAAAGTGAATTAACTAATATTGATGTCAAGGTTAAAAACAAGCATGTCATCACAAGTGAAGAATATTTTCAATTAAGAGAATTAAATTTTTTTTTGCAATTATTTGAAATTAAGATAATTATTTTTTAAAATATTTATCTGATATAATTTAAAAACAAGTATAAATTATTTTTAAGATTAAAGTTGAACGAGCTTTTTTTGATAAATGTTTGCTATTGTAACTTCACTTTCAATAAACTTTTTTTTTTTCAAATAGCAAGGCTCACTAATGACCTTCCTCCATTATATGTAAGATGTAGGAGTTTTCTTTCTCCTAGACGTTGTAAAGAGAAAGATGAATTTATCATGAGTTCATTTTAATCTACTTCTATCGTAACGGTAAATGATTAATAATAGTTTGCATTTATTGTCACTAAAATAAAAGTTTTATAAAAAAAATTTTATCACAAAATAAAAATTATTATTTATTAGTTACTTTTTAAGTAAAGGAAATATTTCTAAAGTTTTAAATTTTACACAAAAAATTATTTTCAATTTCCTGCTTAAAACGATATATATAACAAAATGTTATCATCGCAACCACTTTGCGCTTCAAACGAATAATTTGAGAGTGTGAAACTAATGTTTAAAATATACATATTTTACTGAATTTGCCTGCTGTTGGCAGATGTGAAATATCTAAAGTATTTTAAATTACCAAAATCAATTTATATTTATTACTATTTTTTTTTACAAATCATAATCAAATTAATATTATTCAGAGAATTTTATGGTGAAAGTATAAAAGAGTGGAAATTATAATAATAAATAGTTTTTGACACCAAAGTTAATTGCTTTTAACTGTCATAATATTTGTAATCTGTCGAGAGACAAGAGAAGTCCAAAACCAAGCGATTAGTTGGCACTGAATTCAGTTTGGAAGAGCAGTAAAATCGTAAACTCCAGTCATAAAATATGTGATCCTGCCAAGTGTTTAATATATATGGGTAAAGAAATCTCAAAATGAATAAAATGATTGTAACAAAAATAATATATTTCATATCGAGAAAATCGAAACAAATGCGTAAATTTTTTAAATAGGAAAAACAAGGAATTTTTGTGAACTTTTAAATTCAATTTAAAAAATAAATTATTTAGAATAATTTTTTTAACTTTAGTTTAAAATTTTTTTTTTTTTATAAAATATAATGCATTTTATTTTGAACAAAAGGAGCGTTCAGAACAAAAGAAACCATACATATATGAGTCAGCATTCTCTTATTGAAGACGATTAAATCTATATTCATACTACGAGAAACAGACTGCACAGATTCGAGTTCAATTCCAATCACCGTAGTTTTTTTCCCCACCTAATTTTTCCCTTTTCAATTCAATATTAATTTTATTTTAGATTTTTAAATCTGTAAAAATATAACTAAATCATAGTTTTTTTTTTAAAGAAATGTTTATCTAAAATGCAAATTAAATAATAATTATATTTTTATACCTTTCTTGTGGAATGTCTGTGATAACGATGAGGATGTAACATGCAGATGTAACGATCTATCGCCATGCAAACCAGAATTACAGCACTTTGTTGAGTAAGAGCCCCTCTAAGCAATGCCTGAAACATTTACATTTAAGATTTAGTTGAAAATAATGTAAAATAAAAAGAGTTTTATTTAAATTAATTAATTTTATTTCTAAATTACATATAAATTGTGTTTAGTTTGGACAGTAAATTAGAGGCAGATCAGGCAAGTTCTAAATCGCAGACGAAATACGGACGATTAGTTACAAATACCCACTTCATTACTAGATTGATCGATTTGTCCAAACCATTGGATTTGCCTGGTGAAGCTACCTAACGTGTTACCTTAATCCCTGGTTTCAAATTCGAAAGCAACTGTATTGAATAACATCGATTGTATACACAGACCAATATAACTTGAATCTTGTCAATCATGTATGTGAAATTCATCATTTACTAATTTTATCATTATAAATATTTCGGGACGCATGAATATTCTCCAAATTAGGCTTGCCGAAATTTTTATCGTGTCGAATTAAAAATTATCGAATTTACATTTAGTAGAATTTAAAAAAAGTAGATTTTACAATTAGCCTAATTTTAATATCGAAAAATTTCTATTTAAAAAAATTCTAATTTTGTAGAATTTTTATTTAACTAAACTTTGATAAAGCAGATTTTCTAATAATATTAAATTTTCAAATAACACAATTTCCATTTAACAAAATTTATATCTAAAAAAACTTTCATAAAAAAGAATTGTTATTTATCAGAATTTCTATATTTATCCAAATATTTATACTTAAAAGTATTTTTAATAATAGAATTTTCAATTAAAAGAATTTCTATATAAAAAAAATTCCCATTTAACAAAATTTTTATTGAATAAAATTTCTATTTGATTTAATTTTTTATTTAATAGAATTGTCATTTAACAAAAATTTTACTTAGCTAAATTTTTAAGACAGAGATTTTCTATTTCACCGATACTTTATTTGACCGAAGTTTCACTTATCCGAATTATTATTAGATAGAATTCTTAAAATGACGAATTTTCATTTGATCGAACTTTTACACCGTCCGACACAATTTTTGACCAACAAAAAAATTTAACATTTTCGCAAACTAAGACCCAAAAAAAATACCCGTATCTGTCCGTTTTGCTTGATCAAGTCGTTTGTGGTTTTTAGGGGTGAAAACAACCCCTAAATAAAAAGTGACAAGATATCTTTTAAAAATTATTAATATTTTATAAAACCTCGGTATCTGGGGGTTTTCGGGGTCACTGATTATTAATCTGATGTCAGATTTTCAAAATTCAAAATGGCGGATCCAATATAGTGATCAAATTTTTAAAAAGTTATTAATTTTTTATTTTATATTCGCCATTTTGAATTTTGACAATTTAACATCAGATTCGTCATCAACGACCCAAAAAACCCCTAGATATCAAGGTTTTAAAAAAATTTAATAACTTTTTAAAATTTTGAGCGCCATATTGAATCCGCCATTTTGAATTTTGAAAATCTGACATCAGATTAATAATCAGCGACCCCGAAAACCCCTAGATACCAAGTTTTATAAAATATTAATAATTTTTAAAAGATATCTTGTCACTTTTCTTTTAGGGGTTGTTTTCACCCCAAAAAACCACAAACAACTTAATCTAGCAAAACGGCCAGAAACGGGTATTTTTTTTGGGTCCTAGTTTCCAAAAATGTTGGATTTTTTTGTGGGTCAAAAAAAAAGTTGAATTTTTTCGGACGGTGTTATATATCCCATCATACACTTGGCAGAAACATTTCAGGGGGAGTTTTAAAATCAACCAATCACAATTTTCTTGATAATTTTTGATTGGTTGATTTAAAAACTCCCTCTGAAATGTTTCTACCAAGTGTATGATCTGATATATGAAAATTCGATTAAATGGAAATTTTTAACAATTCTATCTAATAAAAATTTGGATAAGTGAAACTTCTGTCAAATGAAGTATCGGTGAGATAGAAAATCTCTGTCTTAAAAATTCAGCTAAGTAGAATTTCTATTAAATAAAAATTAAATCAAATAGAAATTTTTTTCAATAAAAGTTTTGTTAAATAGGAATTTTTTTATATAGAAATTCTTTTTTTAAGTATAAATATTCGGATAAATAGAAATTCTGAGAAATAAAAATTCCTTAGATATAAATTTTGTTAAATGGAAATTGTGTTATTTGAAAATTTGATATGTTAGAAAATCTGTTTTATCAAAGTTCAGTTAAATAAAAATTCTACAAAATTAGAATTTTTTTAAATAGAAATTTTTCGATATTAAAATTAGGCTAATTGTAAAATCTATACTTTTTTAAAATTCTACTATAAATGTAAATTCGATAATTTTTAATTCGACACCACAAAAATTCCTGGCAAGTCTAATTTTGGAGAATATTTATGCGTCCGAATTTTTCTATTTAATATTTTTTTTTTTGACATAATGTATTTAATTCGAGGCTGTGAGAAGGTTGCCTATATATTCATTGTAGCAGATGGCATACAAAATCACAATGTTAGTTGCATCCATAAAGATGCATGAGAGCAGTTAAAGGCGCGGTTACTATGGTGACCGTTGGCAATGTGCCAAGAAAAAAAGCGCTGATAATCTGAACGACTGCAAATCTGGCCTTATTTTGTTTGTTAAAGACCTTCACCCTCTTCTTTCTCTAGTTGATGAACTCAAGCCAACACACTTTATAAATCCAAATTGATAGGCGCTCCTCTTTCTCATTCATTATTCTATTCCCTTCTTTTTTGTTTCCCTATAATCAATTTCTTAGCACTTTTCAAGTGTTCTTCTCTAATTATTTTCCAAATAAATACCAATTAATTTCATCGAATTTTTTTTTCGTTCTTTTTAAAAAATAGCAATTATTACTGATAATATAAGTTAAGTATATTGGTCTGTGTGCCTTGAATTATAGGACATACTAATTTCTAGGAGACAAATGAGTGAAACCGTAATAGGCATAGATGGTAGGTACTTGGAAATCAAGAAATACGCGACCACAAATCACTGTTCCTGGCTCCGGAGTCGCCAAGATTATCGCCAGGAACCTGATAACGCCCTACCAACTCGTGGAACGAGTGCCGGAAGTGGCTCGAGTTCCTGACGGCAATTTCCTCCCAGCAAGAGTGCTTGGTAGAAGAGGCTCGATCCCGATCTCACACGAATCTGGGAAAGATGAATCACGCAAAAAGGAACAGATTTATGGGGCCAATTAGAATTATAATTAATTTTATTTTCCCTGTTTTGCACTTGTATTTAAAATTGCCAATAACCTAGTCGAATTTTATATATATATAAAAAAATGATGCAATTTTATTCGCTCGCTGGTATAAAATTTAAATTTATTTCGAATTTTATATTCATGAGACTTTTTCAACCGTTGCAGTACAAAAAATTACCTGAATTTGACAAACGACTTCACCGTAGGGCCAGCAACCATATATAGCCGGAAGGAAGCCGAATGGAGTCACCAGAAGTCCAATGGCAAGATCGTTACTCGCGAGACTAGTTAACAGATATCTTGGCTGAAACGAACAACATTATTATTATTATTTTGTTTTTTAAAAAAGATTTATATTCTAAAATTAAAACAGTTTTACCTGAGCGTGAATGTATTTATTGTAGCGGCGACTGTTGATGACACAAATGACGACAAGATTGGCGAATAGAATTCCAATGCTAAGAAGAAGAATCAAGGCAGCGCGAATTAACTCTCCCGGTCCTGGACCAGTCCAGGACATCTCGGATGAACCGGGCCGCCAACAACTGCTGTTGCTGAGTGCCGGCGCCAGCAAGATTGTCTGCTTGTGTTCAAACATTCTCTCTCTCTCTCTCTCTCTCTCGATTATTCTTCTAGATAAGTCATCCAAACGATTCGCTAAGAGAGCTTGAACGCGCGAGGCTCTCTAGCCTCCTTAATAAAAATTCTTTTTCTCTGGTAGCAAGGAACATTCATGTTTCTTTTAAAAGACCACTTTGAGCACCCCTTTCAGCGATCCTCAATTTCAAGATTTATCAGCTTCGACTTTCTTCACTTGATTTCAGTCTAGATACTCCTTTGCAAAAATTTTTCCTCAATTTTTCACCCTCATTGAACATTGCGGAATATCAAATGCAATACTATTAGGACTGAAAAATAAAATTTTCAATTATTACCTTATTCTAAATGTGAATAAATTAATTTAATATTCTAGTTTTTTAATTACAATGGGACCTCGATTATCTGAACTAACTTAGGGCCAGGTTCGGCATAAGAAAAAAAATGAAAAAACGAATAAAGTAACTTTTACTATACTTTAAAAGTAAAACCGGAACTGTCCTCAGTTTCTGTGCATTTCCGTCAATTTTTACTCTAATAAATAGTAAAATTTACTATTTCCGGAGTAATTTTTACTATTTCAGGAGTAAATTTGACTATTTTCGGAGTTTCTGTGCATTTCTGTTAATTTTTATTCCATAAATAGTAAAATTTACGGGACTCATGATTATGTTCTAAAAATCATTAGTCATAATTTACATTTTATCGAATTTTATTTGTCCTAATTAGTTTTAAGCCGAATTTCTATTTGTTCGAAATAGCATTTGGCATAATTTACATCAAAGCGATTTTGTATATTAAAGAATTTTTATATAACGGAAAATTCAATTCGCAGAATTTTTATTTGTCAGAATTTTTATTTGCTCGAATTTTTATTTAACATAATAGGCATTTTAAAGAATTTTTATTGGGTAGAATTTCATTGGATAGAATTTTCATTCAGATGAATTTTCATTTGTTCGAATTATTATTTGATATAATTTCCATATAATCGATTTTTCATACTACAGAATTTTTACTTAACCGACAAATCATTTAATAAAATTTCTAATTGATAGAATTTTCATTTGTCCGAATTTTCAAATGACCGAACAAACAATCGACAGAAAGATTTCGGCGCGATTTTTAAAATCAAACCAATCAAAAATTATTCATAAAATTGTGATTGGTTTATTTTAAAAATCGCGCTGAAATCTTTCTGTCGATTGTTTGTTCGGCCAGTTGAAAATTCGGACAAATGAAAATTCTATCAATTAGAAATTCTATTAAATGATTTGTCGGTTAAGTAAAAATTCTGTAGTATGAAAAATCGATTATATGGAAATTATATCAAATAATAATTCGATCAAATGAAAATTAATCTGAATGAAAATTCTGTTCAATGAAATTCTACCCAATAAAATTCTTTAAAATGCCTATTATGTTAAATGAAAATTCGAGCAAATAAAAATTCTGACAAATAAAAATTCGAAGAAATAAAAATTATGTGAAGTGAATTTTCGGTTATATAAAAATTCTGTAATATAGAAAATCGCTTTGATGTAAATTATGCAAAACGCTATTTCGAACAAATAAAAATTCGGCTCAAAACTAATTAGGACAAATAAAGTTCGATAAAATGTAAATTATGACTAATGATTTTTAGAACATAATCATGCGTCCCGTAAATTTTACTATTTATGGAGTAATTTTTACTATTTCAGGAGTAAATTTCACTTTTAAAATAGTAAAAGTTACTTTATTCGTTTTTCCATTTTTTTCATGTAGAATCGCGTTACCGCTGAAAGCACAAAATGAAAAAATCTTGTGACTTCCTATTACTGAAAAATGGGAGTAACATGCAATTTAGTTTTAATGAAGGAGCACATTTTTTTTCGATATGTAATACATTTTGGAATATTAGAAGAATCATTCATAATTGGTTTTGAACGGTTTTGTTTTATGCTGAAATAATTATATTGTTTTTCTTTTCTCTTGTATACTATGTACATAATTTTTACATCTTAAAATCGCTTACTGAAATAGTTATACATATATATTTATGTTGTAAAAAAGCCAAAAGTAACACATCAAATTTAATTTTTTAAGCTCATTTATGACTTTTTATTTCACATGAATACTATAAAAATTATAATCTAATTTGATTTTTTTGTTGGGCAAAAAAAGTTCAAAAATACATTGAAACTAAAAAAATGATATAATCCTTTTACAATTGTTTAAATGAGGAATAACATGAAATCACACAGATCTGTGGATTAGCCCGTAAATAATAAATAATAGGTAATTAAAATATAAAAACACAGTTTGGTGCAAGCAACAAAATGTCCTCTTGTGGCAAGCTTGCAAGGCAACGTTGGCACATCTTGTACGACAAACTTCCTGCAAGTTTGCTGCATGTTTTCGTGCTGATTTGGGACTAATAAAATAAAAAACAAATTTTTGAAGATTTCTTTGAAGTTTTGTTATTTTGTTTTGAAAAATTCGTTTTTTTAGCGAAATTTGAATGATGAAATTTTAAAAAAGGAAAAAAAATATAAAAAATAAATTTGAAGATTCGGAAGGCAAAAAAAAGATCGAATAAAATATTTTACTGTTCGGATAAGAGAGGGTTCGGTTAACAGGGGTTCGGATATAATCGAGGTTCCACTGTAATAAGAAATCACGAGGGATATATGCTCAGAGGCAGCAGCAATGATAGATAATTAAATCTGGTTTTTATTTTTCAGACACAAGGGACGACTTACTCCGACAATAGTAATTACATTTTACATATAAGTGCATTTGTATTAAAAGAGAGCAGGCTTCACAAAAGCTTTTGCTAAACTAACTGATTCTACATAGTCCAATTTAAATTATCTTCTTGGAACCAAGCGATTTTATTATTCCGTAGTAAAGTTTTTCACATTTACATAAATTTATTAAATCCGTATATGGCAAATTATTTTACGAGTAATCCAAACTTGATACCAAATGTATGGTTAAACAATGGGGGATTAAATAATGAATAATAAGGAAGTGTGTATACAACGAAGCAAGGTTTTTAAAAAACGCATTAAAAGTGAATACATGAAAAATTTCTTCATTGTCGATAAAATGCTTGATTATTATTCTCTTCAGACAAGGATTACCTATTTATTTTTCATTTGATTGTCAAAAAAAAAAATGTAAATTTCGAACCGAATTAAAAAACGTGAGACTAGGATTTTACTGTCAGATTTTTGTTAATTTACTTTTTGTGAAATTAAACGTAAATTCACGTGATTGATCACTTTATTATTATATATTCATCTAATTAGGAACTTTTCAACTCCAACAAATATGATTCGCCAGAGATGATTCAGCAGAGATAAATTGAACGTGAATATCCATGTTTCCTGCCTCGAAGAATTGTTTCTGAACAAATTTTACCAAGTAAATTGTCAGAGAATCTAAATAACAATAAATTTTTTGGGAAAAAAGGAGAATATTAAAATGTATGAAAAAAAAACGAAAAAAATGTAAAGTGACTTTGACGAAGATGGTGGGGGGTAGGATTAAGTTCAAATGACTTTATTATGTCAGAAACTGAGGTTCAACCATTTAGCTGAGATACCGGATGCATTTAGATGGTGAAATTAGGATTTTTCATGAATGCCGAACTGGTAAGAATAGTAGAGACGGATAATGGTTGGAAAATGCAAGATACTTTTGCAGTATAAGAGGGGGGGGGGACTTACAAGGATCGTTAGATGCAATGAATCTGAGAATTTTTTTTTCTATTGCTCGTTAGGTATCGGAGCACAACTACGATTCATTTATTTCCCTTTTATCTAAATGTCTCGAAACATTCTTTTCTATATAGTATTCAAAAAAAAAAAAAAAACTAGAGATCTTTCAGTCAATTAGTTATATAATCTAACAAATGCTTCGCAAACATTTTTTAAAAAACAACCCACTTATATTTGACAATTTCAGAAATAAAAATGCATATTTGATTCAAATTTTATCATAATAAATAAAAGAAGTTAATTAGCTATTATTTTGTTAACAAAGTAAAATTCAGAAGAAGGGAAAAAATGGAAAATTTTGCAAAAAAAAAAAAAGAAAACAATAAAAATGTGATGAAAGGGAGTTTTTATTTTTTAAAAATATGTAGTTGTCGTTTAGAAGCATTGAAGCTCATAAAAGCGAAATATAAAAATGATAAAGTAATATCACCACGTGACAGAGTTCTCTAGTGGTTACGAACGTATATTATTCGATTTATGAGCCGGTGAGATTATTATCTGAGATACCGACAATAGTGTGCACTTTCCACATATAATAAATGAAAAATGCAAACGCATTATTTGCGTAACGGTATCATAAAGTGGGTTGAAAAATGTGGGAGAGGGTGAAGTGATACTGCCGAAGTTGCAGTGATTCCTCGAAAGTAAAGGAAAAAAATGGAATAAAAAGAGAAAAGCTCGGTGCTCGCAAGTCGCTCGATACGGCTTAACGGACTTTCTTCCAAGAGTTGCGATTTAACAAGTTTTGGGGTCAGATACTCTGAAGAGCTTTCACATTCAGGATGAACTGAAACCATCATCGAAGAGACAACCTCGAGATCACGCTCGAAATCTTCCATTATCATTTTATTGTAGAAATTCGCCTTTTTCATATATCTTTCAAAAAAAAAAAAAAAACTTCAACTATTTTCTATAGCTAATTAATGCATCTCTCCAATATGAATACAATTATCATATGAAAGAAAACTTCTCTTTGTCAACTTTTGAATTGTGTATTTTAGAATGAATGCTAAAATGCACACGTATTTTTGTGAAAAATAAAACTCTTGACTTTTTTTGCTGTAGCAGTGTAAAATTTCAGAGTTTTTTTTTTTTTTTTTTTTTTTGACGAGAGATCCATACAACGATTATTCGTTTTCCTCTTGCATTTCCATTCGCGATTTCTTTCCTTGTAATTTTTTCTGTGTTTACTGCAACCCGAATCTAGACGACCAAAGAAAGTGGTGAACATAAAACCAGAAAATGGAGTTAGGCTTTCCATCATTTACTTTCAGCAGAGCAAGATTTAAAGTGATCCTTTGGGAAAAGTTCCAATAAAATTGACGGTGAGGAAACTTTATGTCATTCACTGTATGACTATATGTCAATCATGGGTAACTTTAGTTCTCTTGAATTTTTTTTTTTTTATTCAAAAAAAACATGTAACTTTAAAATAAAAATAAAAAATGTTTATTTTATCATAATTTTTAAATAAAAAGTAGCAGTTTCAATAAGGATAATTTGAATTTAAAAAATACATTGATGCTTTGTTTCAAGTAGTAAAT